ATGTAAAGTGTCAAATAATAGAAACGGGGTCCCAGCAGCCCGTTAGGGCACCATTGCTGGCCCACTATTGATAAAATGGTATCAATCGACATCTAGCCTGGGAAATGGCAATAAATCTGTGTTGTCACTCACCATCCCATTTATCACTGGCTATTTGATATGTCAAATGCCCATGTCAAACAGGCATATCGCTGATCCCCGTGACACCATGGGCACAGCCCGCCAAAAGCCGTCCCCCGAATCCCCACGACACACAAGACTGCCAAAATGCAAAAAAAGCAAACTTGCCGAAATCAAAAAACTTTGCTCCATGCCAGGATCGAACTGGCGACCTCCGCGTATCCTTGGCAGACCCTCGGATGGAGTTATATAGTGTTTTTTACTATAAGCACAGCGCTCTAACCAACTGAGCTAATGGAGCAATCTAGTCATACTAATGTGTCTAATCATCGTATTTGAAGTTTCTGAATTTTGACCCACAATCGATAGGATTCCTTTGCCTTTTGTGGCGCCTTTCCCTCCCGCATTCCCCCAAACTGGCCGTCATCGTTCGGGCCACATCTCGAGCATGTCGCACCGTTGCCTATACCGGGTTGACAACTAATGCACAATGCTTCATTTTAACCAATATTACTATTACTATTAAACTAAAATAAGTGACAAGCGGCGTAAGAGAAGCCTTGCAATACACGCCAGAAGTGACGACTATACAAATACTGCACTGACTGGGCGGGGGCTTATTTCAATGGCAACAGCGGAAGGTAGTGATGCATATGTGTTACAGGGACGGGTAGCCTGGCACTCTGTGAGGTCGAGCTTGAGGGCATTGTCGCTGCTGCTGCTACTACAAGTTCCGTACGTCGTTGTGGAGGCGACGGCGACTGGAGACCCAAGGACGTCCGCCGAGATGTGGTATTGAAGCAGCGTCGCGGCTCCGCGTGTCAGTGCCTCGTTATTATCTGTAATGTTGCTGTTGCTCGGAAATGACAAGCCGACGTCACTGCTACCGCTACTGGCCATAGCCGCTGCCTGCTTCATTGTCATGTGTCTGCTGGTGCGGAAAGGGCCCCCCAGTATACGCCTTGGTGCCTCACCACCTATTGAGTTAACCCAACTAATAAGTGTTCCAAAACAAATTGCCCACATTTGTGAATAGCACTCTGCGGGCTGGC